ATATACATATATATATATATAATTTATAAGAATGACATCAAAGAAGATAATATTATACGGATGTAATAATAGTTTTGTTTAAGTTTTGCTGAAGTTTTGCTGAAGTTTTGCTGTTTCCCCTCATAAGTTAAATGGCAACTCGTCCTTCGTCCATGTGAGTTCCACAACTTTCCCCATGCGAGCGGACTCTTCACAGGCTGTAGCGATCTTACTCACCGCCAGGACGTCTTTTGAATTGACTTCCGACTCAACCTTACCATGTACCACATCGAGGAAGTGATCAAACTCTCTTAGATAGCCGTTCATAAAACGGCTAGCGAATGAGTAGAAGATCGGGGCAGTGGTAATCCCTTGTAGTTCATTATACGAATGAACGGAGTGAAACTGTTCATTGGTAGCTTGCAGCATGCCCTTCGGACCGAAGGCTTCCAGTCGTTGATCATATCCGTATGAGCTGTTGCGCGATAAATCGATCATGCCAACTGTTCCTGATGGAAAATGTAAGTTCACTGCAACCGTATCGAAGTCTCCAATGGCCTTGATCTCTGGGATATTTGCGTGAGCTAGGACCGAAACCTGTAATCCATATTTTTTATCATTTTTTTTTTAATAGATACAATTTGTTCAATTTTTTAGTCCTTTGAGATAATTATAAAATATAAAAATCTGTTTTTTTCTAAGATATTAACTGCATATAGATACACAAAATTACTATATATACTGAAAAAAATACTAAATCTTAATCTATATTTTTTTAAATAGTACTAAGCATTTACTTACAATAAATAAATATTTACTTAATAAAAAAAATGAATAAAAATGATAATGAAATTAATGATTTTAATGTCAAACAGATATATGTTTACATTTAGTAAATTTTTACTTATGATTATTCAAACAAATATTTATTAAAATTTAGTATTTTTCTCAGTGTACATTGCATACAATACATGTAAAAATCGTACCTTATCTGGGTATTCTCCGAGAACCCAAGTAATCATGTCGATATCGTGGACCAGGCAATCATGGAAGATAGCGCCGGATACTTTCAAATAGTCTAGAGAAGGCAGGGGAGAGTCACGAGAGACTGTTTTAATCATATGGACGTGTCCGACCTCCCCTTTGCGAACTCGTTCTTTTAGATTCGAATAACTCGGATCGAATCGCCGATTGAACGCGCTAAATAGTGGCTTGCCGACTTTCTTAGCCATCTCGTAGCATTTAACGGTGCTTGGGCGATCTTCTGCTATGGGTTTCTCACAGAAGACTGCCTTTTTTGCTTCCAGAGCTTTAATAACTATACCTTCGTGTGTGTATGTCGGCGACGCCACGAAAACCGCATCGACGCTTTACAAATTGTAAAAAGCAGGCATTACTTGTTTGATTGTACATTGTGCATTTGTATTACAGATTTATATTGTCTAGATAAGGAAATTGTGTAATTTATATTTTAATGTAATTTATAATATTTAATTTATATTATATATATAAATTTACATTATAACAGGTACTTAATTTTTCATTTTGATTTAAGTTTATTTAAGTTAATTATTCGACAGCGCTTTCTTAATTAAATAGTACCAATTAAATATTTATTAAACATAAAAATATATTTATTTGATACAAAAAACATTAATTTGATTTGATAGTCTTTTTATTAAGTAAATATTTATTATAAGTAAATGTTTAGTAAATGTTGGCAGTATTCAAATAAATATTTATTTAAATTTAGGCTATTTTTTTCTCAGTGTAGCTACTTACTTGGGATCTTTGAATACTTTATCAGACTGCTTGCTATTTAAGAAGGTAACGTTGTCCAGATGCCAGTACTTTCGCAAGTTTTGCCAATTACTCTCGATGTCATCAACGATATATAAAATTTGGACACGTTTATTAGAATTCATAGTTGCTAAATGTATCGTCCCGGCACGACCCACGCCGAACAGAGCCACTTTAATTATCGGTTCCTTCTCTGCTTTCAGGGCGAAGTGTTCTAAATATCTACAAAAAATATTTTTTTTAATATCCATTTTTAGTAATGTCGAACTTTAATCTCTTAAAAGATTTAATAGTTTGATGTACTCTTTATCTATTTCTATTTTTAAAATTAGAAAGACTAGAAAGAGATAAAAAAATTAAATTAAACTGAGATTAAATATTAATCTCAGTTTAACTTACTTTTAATAGAAGAAATTAAAAGAAGAATAGCTACGAGCCAAAACAAACAAATTTTAATGCACATATAATAACGTTGACATTAAACATAAAAATAAAACAAAATAAAAATATATGTCTACCTAAAAGAACAAAATAAAAATATATGTCTACCTAAAACTAACGTTTCTCGACCACCTTCGAGTCATTATCAAAGTTCTAAACTAAATTATATATAAATATCCGTTGACTAAAATAGACTCACATAAGTAAGTAATCATAAAAGTAAAACACCGAAAAAACAAATTTAATATAAACCTTCGCTGTTTAGGCCTTGACATCAATTGAATGTAGCCAACAGTAGGTAGATCTACATGTATTTTCGTCGTTGAATACTCAGCGATATCTGACTGTTTGGCGCAAATCTGTGTGATCTACCTACTGTTGACTACATTTAATTAATATCAAGGCCTAAACAGCGAAGGTCTATATTAAATTTGTTTTTTCGATGTTTTACTTTTATGATTACTTATGTGAGTCTATTTTAGTCAACGGATATTTATATACAATTTAGTTTAGAACTTTGATAATGACCCGAAGGTGGTCGAAACGTTAGTTTTAGGGGTAGACATATATTTTTATTTTGTTTTACTTTGAATAGCTCGTAGCTATTCTTCTTTTAATTTCTTCTGTTTAAATTTGTTGAGCTATTCTCTATTATGTATTTTTACTTTTAATATATATTTTAATATTAATTTTTATATAGGTTCTACATTAGAAGAGTCATTAGTAAAAGAATATTGGAAGCAAAGAAACATAAAATCTTGAAGAAATATAGTTGAAATTTCTGATCTCGAAAGTCCAAAGTGAAAAACTGCAGTAATTGTCCACCTACATAAAAGTCATTTATAAAATTAATTGAAAATTTGTTCATTTAAAGTCCATATGAATTTTGTTGCGTGTAGACATTTCTCGTGTCGGTTTTAAATTAAGAAAAGAAATAAAATTTTAGGAAAATAAAAGTAAACGTTCTTCAATAAGCAATTTTCTGCATCGAACAAATTTCCGTTAATCGAATATAATATTTATTTTACAATGCACATCGCTCCAATGCGAACTTATATTGTGAAATGATATTGAACTAATTACTCACTTCTTATACAGGTAATCATCCTCAGGTGGCGAAGGCTTCGGTTTGACGTAGGGAGATGTCTCTTTGAACTTCGCCGTTGCCATTATTACAAATTATATGTATATACTTTGATTCCAAAATCTGTCGCGATCGAGAAACCGGTTTCTGGCCAACGATGCCTCGATAATAGCTTCTTATATACAAAGAGATAAATGGAAGTGGGAGTTGCTTACTGTGACGTATATTATTATCCAATAGCGCCAGTCATGTAAATAGATAAAAGATACATTTTCTAATTATATCAGTAATGCGTAGTGATAAAAATTAAGGAAATCTCTGTCATGCTGAGCTGTTGTTTTTATTGAATAAGGATACTGTATATTTCTTCCGAATTTTCAGAATTTTTTTTATCATTTTTATTTTTATTCTTACTGGCTATTCTTATGCCAAGAATTCTTAACCAACAATTCTCAACAAATACAAAAAAATGAGTATAAATTTCTCGCTACATAAATCATCGAATAATTAATGCATTAATGATAAGTTTGAAATTAAAGTATTTTTATTTAATTGCTCCTCTTTCGAAATAATTAAGCCGGCGTGTTGTCTTAAAATCTATGGAGTTTCTACTAATTAATTATTGACGTGCTTTGCTGCTGCAAAAGAGTCGCATAAAAGACAGTTGGCAGCAAGAGAGGCTTCCAGATGGTTTTATCCATTCATTAAATTTATTCATGAGCCACAATGAGAAAAGTTCAGTATTGTGATGCGTTCGTTCAGAAAGAAGGATAGAAAGAGAGAGGATTCAATAAAGCGGCGATAAAAAAAACTTAAAAATTGAATATTTCAGCATATTCGATACACACACACGTTGATCATTCTTCAGCATAACGTTGACTTGTCTATGAGTGATTTATACATATTTACGCGATATATCCATTAGATTTTGCAGTTGTGTTTGTTCGTGTTTTTGCATAATCATCATGCGATACCCTTACATTTCTTAAAACGTTACCACGGTGACCTGTAATACGTAATGATCGGAGGACTTTGTTATCACTGCAATTACGCTAATCATTTGTCCATATCATAACTTCTACCGCAAAAAATGACAAAAACTGTGTCATAACAATTAGATGTACTTCTAATTGCTTTTCCAGCGACTTTTAAAATAACCTGAAATATCTGTTAAAATTATTTACTGCATAGTTAATGTGTCAATAAATAACTTGAAAATTTCCATTATGTAATATCATAGGAGGGACAAGGGGTTATCGACGAAATTATCGCATTATGTATCGTATATTTGGAGTAAAAATAGATTTTAAAAAGTGTCGCTCGTATACAAGTTGCATACATTCTACCGCTGCACGGTTAAATTAATATATATCACATAGCAATGAAAAATCCGCTCGAACGAATTACATAATTTATTTAAACGACGTAAATTAAATAACAAACAACAACATCAAATTCACGTAGAATGTATCGTGAGTTTGTCATCAATGTGAAGAACGTTCGTCGGTAAGATTTAATAAAACTGCACCCCCGACTTTCTTCTCATTCTGAAATCAATTGAGATACGAATATGTTTTTATCATACAGCAATAATCACGTTCGCCAAATGCCAACTAGGTAAGATCGGCTTTTGGAAAATGGATTTATACTTTTTTTTACCAATGTAGTTTAATTTTAATTTGAATTCAATAGGCTTTCCATTTTTAATTATAAGAATTAGAAAAGTAAGTTACACCAAGATTAAAATGAATTTCTTCATTGGGCATTAATTAATTTAATTGATTTAGATTTTTTTTTAATTAAATGCCGATTTAATCAATCACGAAATATATTAATCGCATTTCTTGCTTCACGATTGCACTTGCTCAACGTGTTTAATATCAAAGAGAGCTTTGCGAGACAACACCACCGATTGTGACAGCGAGAAATTCGAGCAACAATTTTATTTATAATGTAACTAACAATTACACGTTACAGTTAATTCTACAGCAAGTGATTTATCAGAGTGTGCAAAATTGAGTGGAAACAGTGATGAATCCTTAGATGACAGAGCTCCAGTGAGCTCTCGAGGATAGCACGAGGGATGCTAAGAAACAGAGGCAGCATACACGTATCAGCCTAGGCTATCCTCTTAAACCTCTTGTCCTTTTTTACCACTTTATCTATTAAAAGAATACTATCTTCGCACCTTTCCTCTATGCATGGTCTATTTTAGTATATTTCTGCCATCGCTTATTCTTTAAATAAATTTAAATTATTAAATTTATGTTTTTGATAGCAACTCAAAGTTAAATATCTAATTTGCTTGATTGTTATTTATAGCTTATGATAATTTACTTTGTTTAACGAGTATTGTTTTTTCTTATGGTAATTTTTCTCGTCGATGATAAATGTTTCCATGGAAATTTGTTAGACAGGTAAGACAGCAGTAATCAAGGATCATCATCAAGGTCCGCCGCTTTAGAGACTACAATTTATCCGCATGATGTGTTCACGGAAGCCACAGTCAAGACTGCAATATGGCCCTTCAATAAATGAAAATTTGATACATTGATCAATAGTTACGATGTAAAGAAACATTTATAGCTCAGAAACAAATTGAAAAATGTTGAAAAACGGAGAATATGTGCATCTCTCAAATCGAAAAAATTTTCTTACACGTGAACGAACGCCTAATTGTATTATTTCCAAATAGTAAATATATTTATATACTATACTACGCTATGTAGCTAAGTTTGCTAAAAGAAGAATTAAATTGTTACGTGACTTAATATTTAACATAATTAATTGCAGTATGCATATTTGCGAAAATATGATTATATATTGAATATATTAAGATTTTATTGGAATTCATACAAAAGTAAGACTTGCGTATACATAATTGCGCTGAGGAGAATCAGCATAGTAAGCAATAAGATTTTTCTACACACCTTGAAAGATATGTATATCTTTTGCAGTATCCTTTGCAATTTTTCATTTAAAAGTGGTGAATATGGACAAATGTATATATATCTAGTATTAATAGACTCTTATAAATCTCGAGTACAAAATGGGGTAGACAGAATCTGTGCTTAGAACATCGACTTTATAGTTTAATAATGTGATTTAGAGATTCGATTTTAATGTTAGATTTGGCTCGAACTCAGTTCCTCATTATTTACTGAAGAAAAACGCTGACTTTGAACATAAAATGATAATAACAGGCAAATAGAAAAATTTTCCATTTTTTATAAGATATTTATTGTGATAGCAGTTATATGAAGAAGTTTCTTCTACACAGGTGTGTACTTAATTTACAAATAATATCGATTTTATACTGCTGCTATTTTTCTTTTGACAAGGTATTTGGTACATTATTAAAATTTCTTTGGCGTACAATAAAAATATGAATACGGCTTTCAAATTCAAAACTATTGATCTACGTTCGAATGCTCGCGCGTTCGTATATATACATATATATATATGTATTTTTATCGCAGTTATATTATTTTATTTCTCAAATTGCACTTTAAAAAATATCTATTTATTTTGTGATATTGTCATCTTAGGTAAAAAATACAAAAAGGAGAAAAAAAGGAAAAACACGTTTACAAACATTTATTATATTTCTATACCTTTGTCTCTCGGATACTCAGATACTTAAATATTCAGATAATGTGACTGAAAAAAAGACATTCATAAAGATTTAAAATGAATAACATTCATAGAAGTCTCACTGTTTTTTTTATACGCGATAATTAAATTTGGTAATTTGTTCCATTTATAAATGAAAAAGTACGTATATATACAATTTATAAGAATGACGGTACATCAAAGAAGATAATATTATACGGATGTAATGATAGTTTTGTTGAAGTCTTGCTCAAGTTCGGCTGTTTCCTCATGAGTTATCCGGCAGCTCGTCCTTCGTCCATGTGAGTTCTACTACTTTCCCCATGCGAGCGGAATCTTCACAGGCCGTAGCGATTTTACTCACTGCTAGGATGTCTTTCGACTTCATCTCCGACTCAACCTTACCATGTACCACATCGAGGAAGTGATCAAACTCTCTTATGTAGGCGTTCATAAAACGACTAGGCCATGTGTACCAGATCGGGGCGGTGCTAATTCCTTGTAGTTCATTATACAAATGAACGGAGTTCAATTGTCTGTTGTCGGCTTGCAACATACCCTTCGGACCGAAGACTTCAAGTCGTTGATCATATCCGTACGAGCTGTTGCGTGCTAAATCGATCATGCCAAGTGTTCCTGAAGGAAAATGGAAGTTTACTGCAACCGTGTCGAAGTCTCCAAGGGCCTTAATCTCTGGGATATTTGCGTGAGCTAGGACCGAAACCTGTAATTCGTATTTTATATATATATATTTTTTTTTTGATAGATACAATTTGTGCAATTTTTTAGTTCTTTGAGATAATTATAAAAATCCGCTTTTTCTAAGATATTAACTGCATTTCTAAGGTATTAACAGATACACAAATTTGCTATATATTGAAAAGAAATTACTAAATCTTAATATATATTTCTTTGAATAGTTCTAAGTAAACATTTGCTCACAGTAAATAAATATTTACTTAATAAAAAAATAATAAAAATGAATGAATTTAATAATGAAATTAATGATTTTTATGTCAAACAAATATTCCTGATAAAAAAATGATAGAGAACGATGAAGAGTATAGAATGATAGGATTTCTATCAATTTGTATCGTTTTCTATAAAATTATCACTGACCTCGCGAGCATCACGATTATTTGGATATGAATTCTATTGTATTTTGTTGAATATTATAAGATTTGTATTCCTATTAGATGTTGAACTTAATTCCTGCCGTTTTTTCGTCTCCAAAATTGATTTGTTTCGAAGGGTAGTGAATGAATACCTTAATCAAAGTAATTTCCTCCATTTTTTACTACTTTTTCCCATCTCTCTGGCAACAGGGTAATCCCACGACGGTAGAACGCGGCGTCTTTCGAGGCGATCCATTCATCCACCCATTTTTGGACTTCGTTGTGACTGGAGAAGTATGTGTCCGTAAGTGCGTGTTGCATCGATTGGAAGAGATGGTAATCCGACGGTGCCAAGTCTGGAGAGTAAGCTGGATGCGGGAGAACTTCCCATTCAAGCTCTAGAAGTGCCTGCCTCACGCTTTTCGCGACATGCGATCGAGCGTTATCATGCAACAAAATGACTTTGCGTCGATTGTTGGCTACGGATGATCTTTTTTGCATCAATTCGTCACTCAATCGGTATAATTGCTGTTTGTAGCGATCAGCTGTAACGGTTTCATTTGGACCCAAGAGTTCGTAATACAGCACACCTTCCTGGTCCCACCAAACGCACAGCAAGGTCTTATGCCCGTGAATATTCCTCTTCGGCGTTGAAGCGGATGGTTGGTCGGGGTCCACACATGATTTTTTCCGCTTGGAATTATCAAAATACATCCATTTTTTATCGCCAATCACGATGCGCCACAAAAAACTCTTTTTTCTTTGCCTGGCAAGCAAAGAAGTCGCAATAGTCAAACGATTCAAAATGGCACTTTCTGACAACTCATGTGGTAACCATTTCCCTTCCTTATGGATCTTTCCCATGGCATGCAAGCGTTTTGAGACGGCCATTGGAGTAACATTTAACTGTTTCGACAACTCTAAAAGCGTTTGAGCTGGATTCTCATCAAGCAATTCTTGCAGCTCGACATCTTCAAATTTTTTTGGCTGTCCTGAACGTTCTTTGTCTCTCACATCAAAATCACCGTTTCGGAAGCGTCGAAACCAAACTCTACATGATGATTCCGATGGAGTTTTATCACCATACATTTCGGATAATAAGCGATGCGCTTCAGCTGCGGTTTTCTTGAGTTCGAAGTAGTGAAGAAGCACATGTCGGAAAAACAGTTTATCGCGATTCATTTTCAATCGATTGGAAAATCTCTTTGGCGTCGAGAAATCTAACCTGTGAGGATTAAATCACTTTCAGCGATGTCTAAACTGCTTCTTCTTTTTCTTGTGCGAATGGTCCCGACTCTAAGTCCGGATCTACAATAGGTGTTTTATGCCTTATGCCGTAAGAAACTGACCAATTACAGTCGAATCCGAGAAGAATAAGCGACTGTGATTCGCCCATTTCTTATGGCTTAAGGCTTAAAACCCTATTGTAGATCCGGTGTAATACAGCGTCGATACGGCCAGAATCGAAAATGTCGCTAATGCGGTGAGTAACAAAAGTCTAAAAGAGTAACAGATGAAATAATGATGTAATGCAAATTACAGTCGAAGCTAGAAACGCTCTTCAAAAAATGTGGGCAAGATGATGCAATACCCGAAACAGGCAAGACACACGTCTGTCCTGCTCACACGGAATTCCGATAATACGAAGCAAAATCCATCGGAATCCTGTTTTCTGATTGGTTGCAGAGCGTCGTACGACGAAAATCGGATGCAGTGTGAATCCAGCATCAGGGCGACTCATGTCTAAACTACAAAAGACATATAACTTCGTCGTCGAAACTGGTCGAAACTCGCCAGCGTTGGAGCCAACACCCTCTAGTAGCGAGCGGCAGGAATTAAGTTCAACACCTATAAGATCTGATTCAAATTAGTGAATTCACGAACCAGATTCCAGATTTGTAACGATATAACAATTTTCTATCGTTTTCTAACAACTTTTTTATGTTTACACGTAGTAAATATTTACTTAGGATTATTCAAACAAATATTTATTAAAATTAAGTATTTCTCTCAGTGTTCATTGCGTATAATATGTGTAAAAATCGTACCTTATCTGGGTATTCTCCGAGAACCCAGACAATCAGGTCGATATCGTGGACCAGGCAATCGTAGAAGATACCGCCGGATACTTTCAAATACTCTAGAGAGAGCAGGGGAGAGTCATGAGCGACTCTTTTAATCATGTGGACATGTCCAATCTCCCCTTTATGAACTCGTTCTTTCAGATTCCAATAACTCGGATCGAATGGCCGATTGAACGCGGTAAATAATGGTTTGCCGACTTTCTTGGCCATCTCGTAGCATTTGACGGTGCTTGGGCGATCCTCTGCTATGGGTTTCTCGCAGAAGACTGCCTTTTTTGCTTCCAGAGCTTTAATAACTATATCTTTATGTGTCATAGTCGGCGTCGCCACGAAAACCACGTCGACACTTTACAAATCGTGAAAAGCGAACATTATTTGTTTGATTGTACAGATGCATTTGTATTACAGATTTATATTGTCTAGATATAGAAATTATTTATTTCCTTATTTCATTATTTCTTATTTCCTTTTAGAAATTATTTAATTCGTGTAAATATAATTTAATATGTAATTTATATTACACTTATAAGTCTATATTATAACTGGTATTTAATTTTTAATTTTAATTTATAACTTTATTTAATTTGATTCTTCGACAGCCCTTTTTTAATTGATATAGCTACTTACTTACTTGGAATCTTTGAATACTTTATCAGACTGCTTGCTACTTAGGAAGGTAACGTTGTCCAGATGCCAATACTCTCGAATGCTTTGCCATTTACTCTCGACATTATCAATGATATATAAAATTTGGACACGTCTACTAGAAATCATAGTCGCTAAATGTATCGTCCCGGCATGACCCACACCGAACAAAGCCACTTTAACTATCGGTTCGTTCTTCATTTTCAGGGTTGTGTGTTCTAAGTATCTACGATAGATATCTCTTTAATATCCATTTCTACCAGCGTCAAATAATTTTATAAATCTCTTAAGAGATTTAATAATCTAACTTATTCTTTACTTTTTTTTCTATTTTTAAAATTAGAAACATACTAGAAAGAGACAAAAAAGTAAATTAATTTGAGATTAAATATTAATCTTGGTTTAACTTACTTTTAATATATATTTTAATATTAATTTATATAGGTTCTACATTAGTAGAAGAGTCGTTAGTAAAAAAATATTGGAAGCTAAGAAACATAAAATCTTGAAAAAATATAGTTGAAATTTCTGGTCTCCAAAATCTAAATTGAAACACTGCAGTAATTGTCCACCTACATAAAAGTCATTTATAAAATTAATTGAAAATTTATTCATTTAAAGCCCATATGAATTTTGTTGCGCATGGACATTTCTCTGTCGGTTTTAAATTAAGAATAGAATTAAAATTTTAGGAATATAAAAGTGAACGTTTTTTAATAAGCAATTTTCTTCATCGAACAAATTTCCGTCAATCGAGTATAATATTTATTTTACAATGCACATCGCTCCGATGCGAATTTATATTGTGCAATAATGTTGAACTAATTACTCACTTTTTATACAGGTAATCATCCTCAGGTGGCGAAGGCTTCGGTTTGACGTAGGGAGATGTCTCTTTGAACTTCGCCGTTGCCATTATTACGAATTATATGTATATATTTTGATTCCAAAATCTGTCGCGATCGAGAAACCGGTTTCTGGCCAACGATACCTCGATAATATAGCTTCTTATATAATGAAAGATAAATGGAAGTGGGGGTTGCTTACTGTGACGCATATTATTATCCAATAGCGCCATTCACGTAATAGATAAAAGAGCTGTTGTTTTTATCGAATAAGGATTCTCTAAATTTCTTTGTAATTTTCTGAATTTTTTAATCATTTTTATTTTTATTCTTACTGGCTATTCTCTTATGCCAATTCTTAATAAACTTTTCAACAAATACAAAAAGAGATGAATATAAATTTTGTGCAACATAAATTATCGAATAATTAATGCATTAAAGATAACTTTAATAAATGCATTAAAAATATAAGTTTGAATTTAAAGTATTTTTATTTAATTGCTCTTTTCTCGAAACAATTAAGCCGGCGTGTTGTCTTAAAATCCATGGGGTTTCTACTAATTAATTATTAACGTGCTTTGTTGCTACAAAAGCATCACATAAACGACACTTGGCAGCAAGAGAGACTTCCACATCGTTCTACCCATTTATTAAATATTTTACTAGCCACAATGAGAAAAGTTCAGTATTGCAATGCACTCATTCAAAACGAAGGATAGGATGAGAGAAGATTCAATAAAGTGGCGATAGGGAAGACCCATTTCTACCAACGTTGATTAACTTTAATCTCGGTTCAACTTACTCTTTGTCTTTTTCAAACTTTAGAACTAGAAAAAGACGAAGAGTAAGTTGAACCGATATTAAAGTTAATCTACATTGGTGGAACCGGGCATTATAGCGTTTTCTCTTGGCTGCACTATCACTAGAGCATCACTCAGACAGTGTACCGTGTTTCCATGACTGGTGATCGAACTCATTCGGTATACGGTGTAGTGCAAATTTATGCACGAAGTGGGATTTTTTTCTCAAAGGGACCATGTAGAGCCAGTGTGACATTTAAAATTTGAAAATTGAAGTCAAGCGGAAACAGAGTTTTAGCTTAATAGTGATGTAGTGTACATCATGATATGTGCACCACTCTTGTGTAGTGTAGCCACACTGAGAAAAAAATATAGTCAATTTTAATAAATATTTAGTTCAGTACTGCCAACTAAACATTTACTTACCGTAAATAAATATTTGTTCAGTAAAAAAAAT